ATGCCTTCTCTATTGTAATTAACAAGGAAACAAAATCTCTCCAAAGCAGCAAATCTACTCCCTAATTAAGCTAAGCAGACGTGGGTCAGGTGTCTCAGAAATGATCAACTTAATCACCAGTTCTGTGGTTTAAATATTGATGAGTCCATATCCACTAATCAAGACACATAAAATAAAGGCAGTCTCAGAAAAGTGCTATAAGCAGATCAATTTTACAACATGTGGGCTTCAAATAGGGAAAGAAAATCTCCATAAGCCAAAGTCGTCGCTATCTTTAAAAAAAATGTTTTTAAGTTAAATATGAAGCAAGTTTTCTAGTGATTAAAATGTTTTACATACTTTACATCTGGTGATATAAATGCTTTATATTATTTTAAAAGATGAGCTGAGAAGAAAGTGAGGGAATGGTTATAAGGCTGTACTCTGCTACAGTTGTCTGACAGTCACATCTGTGAATTCATACTATCTAATGCTGTACCAATGGATTGTTCCTACATTAAATAAGAGAAGCCAGTTTTGTGTGTGTACTACAAATGTTTGAAAAAAATTTTTCTCATTCAGATTAACTGTTACTTAAAAATATATTTTAGGCCCAGCCATCAGTGGTTCAGTGGTTGAGCATCCACCTATGAACTAAGAGGTCTCTCGTTGGATTCTGAGTCAGGGCACATGCCCAGGTTGCAGGCTCAATGCCCAGTAGAGGGCGCGCAGGAGGCAGCCAATCGATGACTCTCATCATTGATGTTTCTATCTCTCCCTTTCCCTTCCTCTCTGAAATCAATAAAAACATATAGAAAAAAATATATATGTATATATATTTTATCATTTTGGCCAATTATCAAAATTGTTTCCTCCAACACAAAGAGAACTGTTTTAACTATTTGATGTTCATAATTACTTATTTTTTCAAAAATGAAAAAAGCATGTCTTATTGGTGTGCCATCACCCACAACAGAAATTCAGATTTATTCAGAATATCTTACCTTCTAGAAATTTAATTTGCGGTAACTGTCCAAATATTTAACTTCACTTAAAATTATTTCAGCCCAAACCCAAAACCCAAGAAAAAATCATTTCAATAGAATGTTTCATTTCACTCCCTGTAAAATCCAACCTAAAGCTAGGTTCTCTTGCTGTTTTAGCATAGTCCTAAATGACATTTTGTTGCTACAGCAACGAAACTCTGCTACCTGTGGCCATGATTTGTTAAGAATTCCTCCAACCAGAAAATTCTGTGCTGTGCATTCATAAAACCAACAGAATGGCTCTAAGCAACATAAAAATATGTGTGTGGGTAAATCCTACTTATGATTTACCCACACACACATTTATAACATGTATACACAAATGTACACATATATACATAATTATGGTTCTCCCAAATCCATCAACAAGGTAAAACCATAACAAATTTCCATATTAAAGTGGGCACAAAAAAACTGCTGTTTTAGATTTCATGGAATTGCTACGTGTTTCCCAAAATTTATCTTAAGATAACAGAGACTATCTGAGAAAATTTTAAAAACAAGAAAATTATTTATATCCAATCTCATTCCAAAAGGGAAAAAAATACACTGAAGCATAAATTCCTATCTGTTATAGTACATATGGCTTCTTTAGCAATAAGCTAAAGAAAACATCAAGTTAAAGCAAAAACGTGGTCATCACCGCCATTATTAGGCAACGAAGTTCAGCAGGCTACTCACCCTCACTGGGGGGCTCCAGGCTTGCACCCGAGGCTGCTGTCCACCCTGGGAGCTCTGCAGATCTTTTGAGCTACAGTTAGCCACAGAGCTGCTCTGAACCCTTAATGCATTTGTGCAGTTTGTCCCACTGCCCCCACCAGGGCCAGGCTTCCAAGGCCTCTGCTTGATACCATCCAGAAGTCTGACCAGCAGGATGTTACTTGGAAGCTCCTCAACACCGGAGCCAACGAGAGTCCTGCACTCGGGACATCTGAGTTCATTTCGGGAACCTACGATCCCCAGCAAACATCGTTTGCAGAATGTGTGCTGGCAAGGCAAAACCTTGGCAGAAGCATCCAGCCGCTCTAGACACACAGGACACTCCAGAAGATCCAACAAAGCAGATTCATCCATCTTTATCTAGTTTACTGAGGAAATGCTTCAGAAATATTCATAGTTGTACACAGCCCTTAAAGTGATTCATGTAACATCCATTTCAGACTGTGCTCTAGAGTCACAGGGGAGAAAGAAAAGACACAAAAAATTACTATTGTTATCTGGGGAAAAGGTTCACAGAGGAGCCAAGAACCAAAAAGTACACAAAAGTGCTTCCTCTGAATAGTGTAGCTTTGCTTTGGAATGTGGTTCCTGAACTCCAAAGTCAACAATTAAAAACAAAGTAGGCTTTTAAAAACAATTGGAAATTAATCCCTAGCGATATTCAGGAGCTCACTGTGCAGAAACAGCTATGAAGTACTATACAGGATTCCTGCAATAAATAGGATTTATGAAATGCAATAAAGACCATAATTTCTTCAGCTCTCAAAGTGCTATTAGCTACCTTAATAAAGTCCTCAACTCGTATGAGAAGCTCAACAGAAGCAACTGAAAGTTTTCTCCACCTGAAATTACTTTTAAATCCAACAAAATTCCCAATTTTTAAGATACTTTCGTGTTTAAGAAAAACCATGCCTCATGTGATCGCTTGTGGTAAATGATCCCAATATTAAATACATATGTTTCTTCACTGGCCTTAAAAATAGAACTGTTTAATCTTGCCCAAACCAAAATGAGCTGAAGGTTGTGACAATTCTAAAGGACACAACTGAAGATTGGCTGGAAAGCAGCTGAAATATAAAAGCAGCCTTCAGGGCAGTGGCTGGCAAACTCTGAAACGGATTTCTGAACGGCCTGCCCTAGTCCCATTCAGAAAATCGGGCAAAATTATCACCAAAAGAATCTGACAATGGGATGCTGGACTGAAAACTATGGGCATCATATGGAAATGGGGCCATTCAGGAGAAAGCCTTTAAACCTGTGACTGCGCCGGCCGCTCTCCCACCACCACCAAAATAAATGTAAACGTGAATGCCTAGGAGAGATGGGGCGAAGAGGTTTTGCTGGGAGCGTGAACAGCTGTTCTTGACAGAGTCGGGGCGGGGGGAGCCCCGGGACTGCACCCTCTCCCACGCTGCCCAGCACAGGTACTCCAGGCGAGCAGGGGGGCGCGGCGGGCGCGCCGCAGACACACCCCGGGGCCAGGTG